CTTCTACAGCAAAACGGAAAATAGAAAAAAAAGTGGCGTTTTACTAATGCTAAAGCAGGAATAGTTGCAGCTTGAGTATGAGCTTTTAAAAATGTCAAGTGCTCCTAAATGGACATCTATAGATCCCTTGCATCGGCATTGGAAAAAACTCTCTGGCCCTCTATGAACTAGCCTTTTCCAGGCGTAGTGGATATTGGATAGTGGATGGTGGACAGTAGCGCGAAATGTGGAACGGAGGAAAACAAACGTGGAAGAGAGTAGGAGGACCTTTCGCCCTCTCTCCCAAACCCCGCCCTTCGCCATTTTTTCTAGCTCACTTTTCTTTGTGTTTTCCCAACTATCTGAAGGCCTGTTACAGGTTATCTACGTCCTTCATTTCCAAATTTTTATGGTATGTATTCAACTTGAGCGTCGAGCACTTTTGACCATTTGTTATTGATCAGCACGGGAATAGCCTCCCACGCAAACTTTCTTAGGGACGAAGCCCTAAGAACGTCTGCGTGGGAGGCTAGCACGGGAACGGATTTGGTAGTACTAACTTTTCAACTGCTTTTAGACTGCGAAACTGTCATTTTTTTTCTTTTTTGTTTTCTTTCTTTTCTTTTTTCTTTTTCAGTTCTATCGTATTTTTCAGACGTATTTTTCGCTTCTCTCCTTAGTCTCACTCACTCTACCCCCACCTCCCCCACCCCATATGCTCCACACAAAAGGGGACGGCCATTTTGTTTTGCTCCAGACCATTCGTTTGACTATTCCGCGTTCTTGGCTTACGCAAAAAGTACGGGCTGCTTTGTGGTCTGAAACAGACTCGTACCCAGTCGCTATTTATGTGTTTTGGGGGTGTGAGAAGAGTAGGTTGAGGCGCGCGTGGGGTCTCATGGGCAGGGACGAAGGAAAAATAGCTCCCGCGTCTCAACCTAATCCCCACTCTTCTCTCACCCCCAAAACACATAAATAGCGACTGGGTACGAGTCTGGGTCTGAAAGACTTTGCACTGATTGACGTTTTAGTGTCATGGAAACTCTAGCCGTAATTCCTGAGCTGCAGATAACAGGTTAAAAGACTGAAAGTTGCTTTCAACAGCGTTTGGAAAGAGAACATCGTCATTTCCGCAAAAAAGAAAAATAACAATAAAAATACGGAAACAAAATAGAGTATAATACTAAACCTAAGAAGAATCTTGTAACGAACGAATGGGAACACCTAAAAAGGAAAGACAAACTTGTGGACTTTCCTCGTCCTCCGTAGCTTTAGTTCATGAAACTTAGACGCCCAAGAAGGCCTCCAAAACCGGCTTACCTTTGTCTTGTCCCAAAACCGAATTAGACTAAGAGCCCTAGTCTGCTTTCCGTAAGTACCGTGTAGATCTCCAGAAGAATTGTTTGCAGCCAGGCCTCAAAAACCCCAAGACACGTCGCCTGCTGCTGGACAATATATAGGAAGGCTATTCCAAAGAACTGCACCAGAAAAACTATTTTTCTTAACATTTGTCTGGGGTAGAGGAATAGCGAGGTTTCTGTTGGTGTCTCTTAATTAGTTATTAGAGATATTGCAACGATGTGCCATTGCTACAATCTACTATGCACTTAACAAGACCCCTCAAGGTACCTAAGATATGTGACGCATAGTCTGCGATAGACCCGCCTCTCACCGCTCTTTGACGAAATGTTCCCATTGGCAGATAGCGATGAGAGGAAGCTGTATCGCAGGCTTTTGGACACAAGGCTTTTCTACTATTTACATGGGTAAACCGGTCACTTCACGATTTGGGCTAATGGTGAGCAGAATTCAGGACTGACGAATTTTGATTCCGTTCGGTAATCGCGTTTACGATTGCCTAAGTCAATTTCGTTTAATGAAAAACGGCCGCGAAAGCCTGAAACTAATATTCAAAAAAGGTTTGAAGACATAAAATCCGAATTTCCGCCTGGAAGTTTCCAACCAGGAAAATAGCCGAATGCCTCTTCAAAAGTTCCGTTTCTTACAGGAATTTTCCACTGAAACGTCGAACGCAACCCGAAACTGAGTTAATGGTAAGCCCCACGTAGCTTTTTTCAGTTTTGAGAGCCCGCAAGGGTAAAATCTTCGAAAAGAACTATTGCACCAATACTTTGTCGAAAATATTTTAAAACTCCTTCAAGGAAATTAGTTTTTATAAACCAAACGGCCTTGATTGGCGATGATTTAATTCGTAAATATCTCGCAATGCAAAAATTCATTCAGTAAACAGTTTTAGGCTTTAGATTTTGTTCTGTTTATACACCATTTTGTGAGGGAAATCGCCAGTCTGAAACTGAACATGAAAGTATGTGACGCTATCCCAGGGACGCTATATGTTGTATCTGAAGAAAATACTACAATCAGTGAGAATAATAGTTTTACTGAAAGATTTAATTTCGAATTGGCTTTTAATCTGCCTTTAAGTAAGTTGTTTAAAGCGTATCTATCGGTATCACTGGCGTGACGGGCAGTGTAACGCTATTTTAATTTAACCACTTGAATGTCGCGATTTTTCGCAAAATTAGGGTTGAACTCGAGGTCTTGCGGGCTACTTAAAATCACTTGCCCAGAGATTTGTTTCAATTTTCTTATAGATTGGGGCCTAGTTAAGCCGTATAAAGTCAGTTTGCGAAATTTTAAGTTATAGCGCATTGTAAAAATTTGCATTATTTTATCCCTATAGTTTTGAAAGGTAGAAATTGTCAATAGGGCCTATTTTTAACAATACGTTTTTGGCCACAAAATTATTACAGCTCTCACAAATTTATCGTCTTATAAGAAAGAAAGGGTCATAAAAACTATTCGTGTTTTTCAAAGGCTTCCAAATAGTTGTGGTTTGACATATGAGTCAATGGAATTTGTGTAAAACTTCGCTTTACCGGAAGTGGATTTGGAGCTCTGAACGGGCAAAATGCGTTTTCTCGAATTTTAACAAAAGAACTCGTTATTTGGGAAAACTAACTACAGCATGTTTCATTACGCATTAAGGGTTATCGATGAGCCAAAAATGAGCGAAATCAAATTTTGAACTTGTGCCGACCGTGGGTCGATATTTATATTGAAATTGCATGTGAAAAGTTATTTAACACTCGAAACTTTCGTACAAGCTTCAAGTGTTATAAATGTTCCACGTTTGTGACGCTTTTTCGCGTACTAAACGTGTTGAGATGGATGTAATGGGCATTGAGATGAGCTAAACATGAGGTATAAATAATAACGAAATTGTAATAATGACAGGTAATATGCAGCATTAAAAGTTATTCCGTAGCAAACCTTGTATCAAACTAAATGAAAATGAAGATCAAATACTCCACTATTAGTATTGCGATGTAACGCAACAAATATTCGTCATTCCGAACAGCTGAACGGGTTTGAAAAACCCCCGGAAAAACCTTGTTTAAGGCGAATGTAACAGTTCTCTTACTGGTTCTTATAAATAATGTGAAATGTTAAATGTTAAATCGAATTGGCAGACAACTTCAACCGGTGGAATTGGCAGCCGGCGAATTGACAGTGAATTGGCCGACAACTTCAGCTTGGTTGTGGTTTAACTGTATGTTTACTGTCATCACTGGATCTTGTTTTATCTTGTTTAGAAGGATGTTAACCATAATTACTTCACAAATAAATTCTACGAGTCATCATTTTGGGGACTGTAGAAGAGAAGGACCTAGCAATACCGGAAATCGGCTGGGAGATATCAAGCGAGACTTACAAAAAACCAACATGAAACTGTGCTTCATCTTGCCGCTCTTCCTTCTGCTTTTATGCGCAACAGGTGAAAGTAACTTTTATCTTACGGACGCCTCACTATTACGCAAATTTCACATTTGAAATGTAAGGAATCGTTCTTTGTCTAAAAATGTTTAAAAGATACAAGCTTTCGACCGTCTGAACTACGGTCCTCAACGGGCGAAATGATGTAAGGAGAGATTTCCCATGTATTGTTTATTTGATTCGAATTTCATATCTAGCTTTTAAATATTCTCTTTGAAGTTGTGTTAGCCGTAATTTACATTGAATTTGCATTGAGTTGTTTTAGTTCCCTTAAATTATACACATTTTACTTCAATGTTTACTTTTAAAAGGATTATTTTTTCTGGATAATTAGGCAGCTTAGTCACTGAATAATTGGATATTTCGCCTGTTCAAATACCAACCGTTCGTAGTTTTTTAGTTTTGACATTTTGAATGATCCTGAGCAAAGGAAACTCGAATTTACTGCTGAATGTTCGTAGGTTTCCTGAATTCACTTGCTTGACTGACATTTAATTTTGAGTTATTTAGTTTAACATATATGGATTTTAAAATTGAATTTATCAAGATTTGTTTTCGCTGTTCAGCTCGGATTTAATTCAACCTTCTTTCCTTTTGTTTTATGATGTTGTAATAGGTTGATCGCTTAGTATAAATAGAGCACTGTTATTCCTGTTTTTCGATTTACATTGCGGATTTACATTCTTGTACGATTTACATTGCGGATTTACTTGACTGTATGATTTACGTTCACGGGCAGAAGATTAAACTGTTGAAGTTCAAGTTTGAGTCCTGTCCTGTTTCCAGTAGCAGATCCTAGTACCTTGGAATAGTGACGAGTTCCTTTCACGCCAGCCAAGTGAGTTACAGAGTTAGTTTTCCCCTTGTTGTTCTCACGCTGAAGTCGCTCGAGTTCTCTTAACGCTTATTTCCCCGATTTGTGCTTGGAAGGGCAAAACCTATCGTCACAGTGGTTAGAGAAACAGTGCAGCTTCAACTGGAACACTTGAGGCCAAGCAAGAACAAAGCAGTTACGACAAGCTTAATGGTTCGTAGCCACGCTATGTAAGTCCCTTGGAGCGCAAGTGAAAAGCTTTCAGTCGCCCAAGTACTCGAGTAACACCTAGTTGTTGACCTATATGCATTCTGTGAAGAAAGTATTAACGAAGACTTTGCCAAGATATTATTTGAGGAGCCGTAAGCGCTACGTTCCCCTTTTTAAGCCTGTTGTGTCCGTAGCAAACCAAGAAATACAAGCCGATTTATCGGACGAAGATCGTGAAGCTTTATTTGCTGAGTTACCTTTTCATTTTCTTTCAAGTCCTGAAAGCGATACCGAAGTTGAAGAGCACCTATGTAAATACCAGTCCAAGTTCTACGTGTCCAATCCAAAGTTCAAGCCAAGTTTCAAGTTCATCCCGACGCTCAACCGTATTCGGTACCCCCACTCAAGGCGAAGTTACAGATTTTGATCCCCGAGATATCAGCGTCGATAGCGACGACAAATTCTTTGTGCACCCGAGCGACTCTGAAGAACAACTTCATGAGACACACACACCCCGGACGTGTCCCGAACGATCGTATCAGTTCAGCCCATTTTACGTTGAACATTCAAAGGAAGAAAGTAATGATTCCCATATTGACGACAAACCAGACCAGTCCTCAAACCGTAACAGAAACGAAGTGCAGTTACCGCCTCTAGTGATAAACTCGCCCGCAGATTTAATAAAGTTAGTTCCTCAAAGAGCCTTTCGTGAAGAAAGCGTTTCAAGCGAAACCTCCGTTGACTCAAGTAGCTGTGAAGAAGAAAACGGAGAGGTTAGACACCAATTAAGCGTCTCTGTAGCAGAAGAACACAACTCCTACGATCCCAGAGAGGCCGTTCAAGAGCTTACGATGGATAGAAGTATACTGGAAGAACATCAACGGGTGTTATTAACCCTAGCTATAAGTATCGCCAACAAGGATGTGCGTATTGATAAATTTCGTGGCTACGAGAATGAAGATATTACCCGCTGGTTCCGAAAACTAGAGTTACAACTAGAGGTAAAGAAAATTCCAACCACCGACCCTGCTGCAATTACTCAAGTTGTCAACAATCTAGGTGGACCAGCCGAGACGTTCTTAATTGAATTATCTGAAGACGAAACGAAAGACTATGGCCGATTGAAACAAGCGCTAACGCGTCGATATTCTACCATAGACCGAACGTGGGTCAAACGGCAACTCCTAGTCTCTAGGCGACAAGAAGTAAACGAGACCCCGGCCGATTACATAAATGGGATGCATGAACTTTTTAGCGGCCTAAATTGCTCCTTGCCTGAGAAAGTGACTTACTTTACCGAAGGACTGAAATCATCCCTCAAAGTTAAGGTCCTGCAGCGGATGCCGGAAACCCTCTTGGAAGCTGAGGAGCTTGCGCGTACTTTTAATTCAATTTCCCGACGCCTTGAAGATAACGAGCCCGAGTCCTTGGAAAAGCTTTTAAGCAAGTTGTTGGCCCAGAAACAAGAACCATCAAGCCATGATTTTCCTGAGAAGCCGCCTGCCTGGGTTGAAGCGCTGATCGGTAAATTACCAGCACCCACTAATCCAGCTAAAACAACAGTTGCTGCCCTAATTGAGCCAACAGTTGCAAGATGAGCTTCGACAGCTCAAAGATCTCTTATTGGACAAAATAGATTCGCAAAATAGACATTTTGATGCTCGTATACGAGGTTTGGCTCGACAAAATCGACAAGGCCAGCGTGATGAGATACCAGGTCAAAGGACAAGAGAAAAACAGCCACGCTGTTTTACCTGTGGACGAACGGGTCATCTTGCAATCAACTGCCCCGAACGCAGAGGCCCAAGCCCAGAGCTATTTGGCAAAATAATGGCAAAATAATGCAGAACGCGAGTGTCAACATCATTTCTAGTGAGGCTGTCATGCTCTCCAAACAAAAGTCTCGAAACTCCGAAAATTTGCATAGGAGAATAACACCTCGCCCACCACCCTTGTCAGGCAAAAGAAATCAAACGTTTCAGTACATGAAGCCCACTGCCAAACGCGAAACTCAACCACACCTTGGCCATTTTTCCAGAACCTGCGAGAACCCCATAGGATAATGTCGAGAATATTAGAGAAGAAATCAAGTCCTATTTAGCCTCAGCTCTACATCTATTTGAGCAACTACCAAGTGGGCCCAAAACAACAGGACCTACTGGTACCCAGCCTAACGAAGCCCATTCCTTTCGTGTTGTAGTCCCGCACTGTACCACCCCACGGTTACCGCGTTCTCCAACTGAATCCACGACTCTCAGTGTTCACAACAGAGACAAGCTCCCTTCATTTTCAGCCAAACATTTTGAAGAGATTCCAAGTGATGTAGAGCAATCCTTGTTTCCTGACCTCTCCAAGTTCACGATAAACAGTCGAGATAGTTCACCTCGGCCACAGCAAGTTATTGGGTTACAGAATAATGACGACGCTTCGAAGCAGTCTCCTTCATTAGAAGAGCACCACACCTATGTGATACCAAGTCTCGTTTGTCCTGTCCCAGTCAGCTCTCAGTCTCACAGTCAGTCTTCTCCGCTCCAGAGTACTAAAAACTTTGTTAAAGAAAGTTGACATGCTAAGCCTAGAGATGTCACCGTCAGTGCACAATTGAATGGACAAAGCATTAAAGCACTTGTTGACACCGGAGCTGCAATTTAATAGCGTAATTGACAAGGAAGTCCTGCAAGAAGTCTACAAGGAACAACTTCTAAAACTTCAGACTGACAACTTAGGAGATGTAAAAACCGTGAGTGGCGAAGCTTTGCCAATCCTGGGTATGTTCACCACTGCTTTAGACATAGCCAATGGAAGTTTCTCATGCACCTTCATAGTGGTTCAAGATCTCCCTTACGACGCACTTCTAGGAAGAGATTTCCCGCGAGAAAATGGAGCCATTATCAACCTAAAAGAGAGTATCTAACAGTTGGATGGCAAAAGAGATGAACCTTACCCGGAGAGAAAATTAGCACAGGGCCCGACTTGCGATCAAAGCCCCGTACAGCCGAAACGTCGTGAAGAATTCACTGAGGAACATTCTGGCAAAGAGAAAACTCCTGTTAAGCAAAGCAGAGCCTCACAGAAAAATGCTTACACTCAGCTTTCATAGGAACGTTATTCTTCCCATCAGCCTCTGATGAAACAAATGTGCCAAAGGAAAATTATCGCAGTTTCCAGCTGATTCCCGCAACCCGCCACAGTGGAAAGACGAATGTTTCTCGTTTATTGATCCGTCAATCCTTTTTGACCACGCTTTGTATCGCTTTATACCTACTGACTGCATCGCACGCAACGGTGCCTGATCAAAATGTTTAGAGAGTTCAGATGACTCCACAGATATATGCCGTACAAAAGCAACCTTTCGACATAAGAAGCGCTGCAGTTGTAGCCGTTCAAGTGTGCCCAACAAACCCAAAAGAGCCCTATAAAATTGGACAAGCAACTGATGAATCCAAGAAAATGAGAGAGCCGCCTCAGCCAGTCAAACGGAGAAGAGCAAAACAGTTTCCACCTATGACGTCAAATGATGCTGATTTTCCAGACAGAACAGTTTATGAAGTTGCCCGAAGCTCTTCTACACTACAGCACGAATTCTTGTCTAAAGAGAGGTCTTACGTTAATCCATGCATTGCACAGCTCCGTGAGCACCGTTCAGAGAAAGATACAACGCGTGCCTTTCCGTACTTGTGAAGCAACCACCGTCAAACCCAAGGAACTTTATTTTAGCTTAGATAGATCGGTGTTAGGATATTTGTGTAGAAAAATACCGTCCAAGGAAAATCAGCTTATATAGTTTACATACTTCGCAGGAGAAACACGAAAAAGAACGCCAGAGAACGTTGTCAGGTTTAATATTTCAGATATGACCGATCGTGATATCCTGGCTGCTGCCCCGCCATCTTTTTTTTTTTTACTTCTATATGATACTGACCTCATTTTTCTAAAAGAAATATTCAGATTAGATAATCACCAACTTTTACCGAAAGCCGAATTTGAACGGAGCAGCGAATGACATTAATTAAAAAAGTATACCATTTCAAATAGAACGGACCAAGCATATGTCTAGCTATACGCTTAACGGTGTTCGACGGGCGAAAAAAAAAAAACGCATTCTCTTACAGTGCGGTAAGCGTCTCGTAGCGCGTTCACGCTAACGACCCCAACCATGAGCTCTTGCCACAACCTGGTAAAGTCCCGAAACTTAAATTACAACAGGCCGGTTATTTCAACGAATGAATTCTATCTCAGGCAACGTTTCTGGGCAGTCAGTGGAAGCCAATAAGCTTTTTAGTGGGTTATGTGGCATTTATTTTTTCACGCGCCGGGTTCGACAGTTAATTAAATACTAGGGCGCGCGGGTCACTAACCAAAATGTTTTTGTAATACGGTATAGTTTTTTAAACATGTTTCAGTTACTGGCCATATATAAGCCTTGGTTCAATGGGTCATTAATTTCAAACTATTTACAGAGAATAATATAGAAAGAAAACAATAACAAAATTACTAGTACGGATTATAAACTGTGTGTAGTGGTCAAAATAGCGAAAGCTTTCTATAGTTGACCGCAAACTTCTTTCGAATAAAACGAAGAAATGACACTATAAGCTTTATTACAGAATGTTTGGTCGCAAAGAGAAATGTACAGCCATTCAGCAAGGAAAAATGTACAGCCATAACATGCCATAAACTAAAGCTCGTGTTGTAAATCTACAAAGACAAGGGACAAAGGTTACTACTTAAGAGCCAATGTCTGTAATTTTCGAAAATCGGTTGAGAGTCGTGAATTTTTGAATTTCTTCATATTTTGCCCAAATTATCTCTATAGTACACTTATTTAAAAAATCACCTTAAAACTTGTAACAGCTTTTTATTTTTTCAGGAATCAGGCAAAGTTTGAATAACTCTAAATCGGCGCTCTTTCGAGTATGAAATTAGCGAGAATTAAGCATTTTCTTCGCGCTCGTACATAAAAACGAGATAATATCTCTAGATGAAATCAAGTCACAAAACAGACACACATTTTTACTTTATAATTCAGCAATTAACTTTAAATAAACCGTTTAAATGAGACTGTACCGGCCGCAAGAAGAAACACGGTTTCAGCACTTTTCAAAAATGGCAAATTTGACCTAACTTCACCATCGTAAAAACCCAGTTGGTACATGGAATTTCAATATGAAACAAGAACTGTATTGAAGCATATCCTTTGCTGTTGTTTGTGTTAAAATATTTCTGGCGGCATTCCAAATGCGCACCGTCGAAAGACCAAAACCTGAAGGGTATTTTGACACCAGGAAAGCGCGTGTGCAACAAGCAAGTTTCGACGGTTGGAATATTAATCCTTTGCAACTATAAGTTACTTCGACAATTAAACACTAGTCAGAGTTGTAACGGTTTCAGATAATATTTCGGCGTTTCTGTTCGGTTTAACATGATTCCTTTCAACTCATTTTTGCGATAAACCATAATGAAGAGACACGAATACAAATGTACGCAGTTCAACTCACAGCTAGTAAAGGGGAATATTGTCGAAATACTCGCTTGCTATAGTTTTAATCGTATTGAAACCTTAAAATCAGAAAAGCTATTTACTTACCTGAACTTAAATGCTAGACGGGGTCACAGTACCGCTACCTAAATTCGTCATCAAGGCAGAATCAAAGTTAAGTTTGTCTATGTTTTCAATCTGTCAACACGAGGAAAGATGACATTCCGGAAGTGCGTGACGCGTAACGCGCCGGAAAAGAAATTCCTGGTATAAGTGTTTTACGGTGCAAGTCTTTGTTGTATGTTCGTATAGCATCTCGCACATATTCAAAGTTGGTTTGTGGCGCCTGTGGCCCCAGTAATGCTGAATGTATTGCGATCATAGAAAAGATGTCGTGAGTTACATGGTATGCCCCTGACTTGTTAGTCACGTGAGTATGTTAATGTAAAAGTAAGGTTTTCTGCATTTACGTTAGGTGACCTTTGTTTGATCCACAAAATTGGCCCATGAAAATAAGAGTTTTTCCTCACCACCGCTAAATGTTTGGTTCCGGGTGGCGGTGCAACAAATCACGTGGTACCGTTCTAGATCAGGCTACTGGCTCATAGAGGGGTCCATTAAGGCTCATTGATTGATGACTCTGTATGGCGTGAAGAAAATGATTTACGCAGACGTTTTCTGAGCGACAAAGGTGCAGCTTTTACTCTCCTTTTTCGTTTCGAAAATGGACGAGCACGCGAGAGAGATCCCCTTGCGCTAATGGTCAATAAATCCCCTGCGGTTTTCATTTTCATACGCGAAATC